AAAATCTCAAAACGACTTTACCGGCTCCTCCTCCTCACTGTCGTCCATCTCGTTCGCCTTCTCATCCGCTTCCTCTGCTGCTGTGAGCTCCTGCGCATTCGCTAAGTTATCGACAGCGATAGCCAAGAACACGTTCAGTAGCGTATCTAAGGAACGAAATAATATCCTTGGGTACTGACATCGAGAAGAACGTACAGTTTCCGAATAGTACAAGTACGATGAAATAAATACAGTAGACCATCCCACCGCCATAAATGCCACCCTGGGCTTCTATAGCCAAGTACATGACCTCGTTCCAGTCTTCACCGGTCAGTATCTGCAAAGAAGTAAGTATTGTTTGCGAAACGCCAAACACCCTTTTTCGTTCCTTTTTGAGTCCCTGCATACCTGAAATACGGTGATCAAGGCAACAGGAAACGTGTCAAAATGGGTGTAGGGATGCATCGATTGGAAGTTGAACCTAAAGTAGGCAATGGAAAACGTACATGCATGGCTTTCGAGCCTACAAAAAAGCTCACTTTCCTCCAAAAAGCTGCATTCCAAGCAGGGCGAAGATCAGAATGAAAAGGAAGAGGAGAAACAATAAGGAAATAATGCTCCGCATTGAGTTCATCAGGGATCGAACCAGATTACGAAGCGACACCCAGTATCTATTAAGTCGGTTTGTAAAAAAATGCCTAGGCAGCATATGCGATGTAACTCACGAAGTTAATTTGAAAATCCTGAGCAAACGAAGCGCACGTAAAACAGATATACCGAATGAGCCTCCTTTCACCTCGGCCCAAATAACTTCAAATGCAGAACCAACAATGACTATACAATCAAAGCGATTAAACTGAAATCGGATCCATAAGAAGGTGCCTTTATGTATGTATGAATTCTACCTTGGAAGCAAAATAAGTCCGAGTACCCATGGCAAACAGTTTGAGCAAGACCTCCATTATGAAAATCCCTAGGAATACATATTCGGCATACTCTGAAAGAGATTCTTGTAGAAACCGATCAAACGACATTATCTATTGTGCGAGATGATTTTGAATCCCTGAAGAGAAAATTCAACAAGCTGTTTGCGTGCCTTCATAGACTTGTCAGATATGTTGAGGAAGAGCATTAAGTGCGAGATCTCAGAGATGCGCCACAATCTAAGCATTCTCATTCCTTTTATTAGTTGGAGCAAAAGTGATGAGCGCTATCTTGGCTAACTTGTGAGGCGCATCGTAAGCAGGTTACACAATGGAGACCGTTACATTGCGCCCTACTTGCTCTTTCTACTAAACAACTTAACGACGCATCCAACAAAGACTTGTAGGAGGATTCAAACTCTCGATGAAGTTCTCTCGAAAAGATTTATGCTGATCGTAATTCGCAGTAAGGCAACAGGTCCAAGAGTTCTAATCATAAGATCCACTCAGAATAAATGGTCTACAGTAACGCACTATGGCTTCCATTCTAATTTGGGTTTTCTTTAGAACACTTTGTGAGAAATGAAGATTGATGACGGCAATGAAAGATGTCTCACATGGAACGTGTAAAGTAGCATAGTGCTTAAGAGGGAAGGACCCTAGGTCGCCATGGCTTTCCCTTATAAAAGATGGAAATACTCGTCTATCTGCAAAGCGTTTCTGGTGGAAGTTTTTTTCGAAGCTTGTATGGTACGAGACAGCCAAACAAGTGTTGGCCAAGTTTCCTGTGTGTTAAAGGCAGCGTCCGGGCTAAAACTCGATTTTGAGATTTTGTG